TAGGGCGGTTGGAGATGCGAGGTGAGAAACCTAGAAACCTGGCATCAAGAAGGTGCCCCGTGTTGCAACCCCCCCCTTTTCAGGGGCTCGAACATGTACAATAAGGGTGCCTTTTTGGATGAGGGTTATGTTGCGCAGACTTTTGGGCCAGGGCCAATTCTCTTGGCGACTTCCAGTTTCAAAGCATGTGTCTTCAGATGGGGCCTACCTGTGGCAAACTACTCAAAGCCTGCGCTTCTTTGGATGTGTTATGAGGTGTTAGTTTCCAATGAACTTTGGGAGCGCCCTTCTTGAGCATGGCTTTCATGTCTCAGGGTCCGGACCCACCTGGCCATACCATCCAGGCGCAGCACTCAGCACTCAGCAGTCAGCTGTAACCTGTCCAGATTGGACATGCTCCATGCCGGAGCATCAAGTATCTGAGGTGCCACTGGCCGTGCCACTGGACGTGGCACCGGACCTGGCACCGGACATGGCACCGGACGTGGCGCCGGAGAATACCTTCTTTATCTAAAGCCAGGCAGAAGGGTGCTTGGGGGACCTCTGGTGGCTGCTACTGTATCCTGATCCCAAAAACGTCAAACATCACCCCGCGCAGCCGACTTTGCCGCGGCTCAGCTTCCTGTGGCCAATACATCCTTGTTTCCAAGCTGCGTTGTTCAATCCTGAATCCTGACGATGGTAGTGTTTTTTGGATGTAGTGTGAAACTACAGATGACTAAATTTGGATTAATAATTCCACTCTTTGAACAATTCAGCCAAAAGGCCCGCTTGTCTTGATCCACTGCATCTTCAAGATCGCACCCGTGCACGTGGAACAACTCAGGCATCGTCAGCTCAACAACACCTGCATCATGTTGACGCGCATGTCAAACCTTTGACATGTCATACGGCTACGGTCATACGTCGCAATTACGTTGTGGGGGGGGACTGCAAGCTTTATGGGTATGGTTCAGTGGTTGATTGCTTTTAACGTTGGCATTAGCATGAGGTTGGCAAATAATAAGGATGGTAATGAAGCCATTGTGAGAGACTCCAGCTTTCCACTCATGATTACGGAGGTGCTGCTGTAAACTATTCCATGTGAGATTGGATACTTTACGCGTTTCACTCGCTCATGGTGTCGGAAGTTGTTTTTTTGTTTGCAGTGCTTGAAGAACTCCCATGTCATGTCAATGTGACATTCAGACATGTTAGCGAATGAGACAAGCAACCCCCAAACATCCTGAAGTTGACCATGACACGCATGCCGTTGCGACTGTATCACAACACCTTACCAGCCTGTGATGGAGATGGCTAGTGGAGGAGAGAGGAAGAACCTCTCACAAGCATCTCGAGTAGTATAATTTATTGATGTCCCATTTTTTCTCAGTTTATCATATCCTGGTCGATCTCATAATCTATTGCATTTCTAAATGATCAGGATTATTGAGGATATGATAGACATCAATACAATGCTACTGATAAAGAAAAGGAGAGTTAAAGTAAGCAGTGAACATATAGACAGGGAAGACACATAAAGGAGGTTCAAAATTATGTTGTCTTCTTCATATTCCTTTATCTCTGCTTTCGTTTACTAAATTGTTTCCATGGAATCCGAAGGAAAGATAAATACAATATGAATCACCCGGAATTCCAAATATGATAATTTGCAATATATTATCTATCTCTTGGCCTGCTTGCAGACAAGATACATAAACACAATAACAATGGAACAAAGGGAAACCGGCAATCTTGGGAAATCTCTTCGAAAGGAATAAGGATATTGATATGTGTTTCCCTTTGTTCTGATAATGATTCTAGGAGACACCTGGAAGGTGAACCGTTCTATCTATATCTCTCATCATCCCTTCTTTCACCTCTTAATAACATCCTAGATACAAAAGGGGAAAAGGAATGTGATGAGAGACAAAGAGATGGCGTTTTGCACCTACACAAGCTGGGCATCTTGAATCAACAAGGAAACCCTGTAACATGTTCTGAGAGGATGCTCGTCTCGTTGAAGGTGAGCCAGGCTTTCAGCATCCAGGGGTGGGCATTTTTTTGCGAGGCTTGTGCACATCGGTCAATGTCCATAAAGGTGGATGACCTGGGGTGCTTTCTAAGTTACAGCATATGTATCGCGTAAAAATGGCACTCGCCAAAGTCTGAAATCTCAGGTCATCCAAATCATCCTGAACTCCCGAAGGCCTAGGCTGGATTTCTGCCAGGAGCATCCATCTTGCCTTTCTCCTTTTGTACTTCTCTACTTCTGCAAGAGGGCTTTTCTGCTCCTTCTGCAGCAGATGAAGCCTGAAAGGCGGGATCTGGCCAAGCAGATGAAGCCTGAAAGGCGGAATACCATCCATCATTCACAACCGTGCCGTTCGAGGCTTGAACTTATAGCCAGCGCTCTGCAGGCTAGCTGCTGGCTGTGAGCTTGGGGCGCCTCCGAGGGATCCCGGGACCCAGTGGGGGCGACCCTCCTGGGTTCAACGGTCTAGATTTTCGAGATGCATCCATGGCCTGCATCATATATATATATATATATATGCACACTAAAATTAACATATATATATATATACATACACATGGGGGTTGAATACTAGGTCCTGCAGTAGTGCCCTTTTACCAACTTTATTAGGGGAGGGAACCCCTACTAAAATAGACTACAGAAAAAAGGGAACCCTTAATCTAACTTCTCTACTGGAGGTCCTATAATATACAGATATACTCATGTATACATGCATGCACATACAAGTGTGTACATGTTTTGTACATGTGTGAAAATACATGAAATACATGTATGTAGATATGAACGTAACATTACACTCGCGCACATTATATATATATATATATATGTATATGTATATATATATATATATATACGTGTACATTCATAGCTAGTTGTACATCTGGGCTCGTAGGATTCCTTGCCTGTCTCCGAAAGACGATGTGCCTGTATGTTGACCCCGGATGAATAAACCCGTCCTATTAATAGAGGGTGTGTCCCTGCAAAAGGTGATTCCCCACAAAACCCATGGACACCCCCTATGAGCAAGCTGGGGTTTGATTCCGGGGTCAACATTACCACAGTTCTGACATGTTCTGACGTATACCCATTCAGGAACCTACAACAACGTGTTCCAGCAATTCTGCAAAGTGCAGCATGACTATTTCATCGATATCTACCTGTATGTGTTTCCGTGTGACAGCTGATTTGGATCTCCAAAGTTCGCAGTGACATGAAGTTCTCCTTTTTGTGAAATCAAGGGGGCGAGCACTGCAGCCAGAGGCCTGTGGCCGCAGTTTATTTTTTCTCTTTGGCTGTATTACTGCAACCCCCAATACAGGAAGGTTTGACATCATTCCCAGACTGAATTAAATTTTGCGCGTTTGGGTTCCTTCATTTCCCTTTTGACCACCAAACAGTTAACTTTTTGGAGCGGGTCTATGTCTGATCAAGATATGTCGGGGGCCATGTGTTGGGAACTTCCGGTCTGAATTGCATTCCGGCAACCAATTGGGCTATCCCAGACTGGCTCCTGCCAAAGGCGAGTCGTCAGTCGCTTTCCAGAAATTTTCAGGTGGGGGTCTTGGGCTGCTGGCTGACCGGAAAACTGGCGCTTGTCAGCAGCCCAAGGGCTAGCTTGCCCATGAGACTTCGCAACTGTTCTGCAAGTTAAATCGTGACAACCTCACCAGGTCGTTAACAACATCAGGTTGTTCACCAGTTCCTGATGTCGTTCAGAAGGGACTTCGTTCACTCAACTCGGGTAACAAGAGGCCAGATGTTCGCAGCAGCTGCGGGGCCCTAACGCCGCATATCTCTGAGACCAGAGAGTTTTCTTGGACATGAAGCGATAGTGTGCACTCGGTTGGCACTGGGTAGGATGAATGTAGGGAGATATGCCCATGCATTTCTCAAAGGACTGAGTTTTGCAGAGGCGAAAACTGGCCCCATCCTTTGTTGAAGCGCTTTCCGGGAAGTATCGTGGGCATGCGTGCCTGTGCCTAGAAGGCTGTGCAGACTCCGTTTTATTCCATTCAGCCTTGGCAAATGGCTGTCACAAAAAGCAACAACAAGCGGCCAGCACAGTATGCATTCGGCAGGGTAAATCCGACGTCCAACATCCAAAGACAGCCGCATTCAGACACCGTGTTTAACGTGTTTCCGCAAATGGCCGAACGATTGACGCATATACTTTCCGCATGGATCTGCTTGTGACATGTGTGGTGACGTGAATTTGGCAACTAGACTTTTGTGGATTTGCTTTGAAGACGGGCGGCCGCATTCTATTGCTAATGCATTTGTGCTGGTCCTCTTGTAACATTGATTCCCTAAGCAATTTGCAACCAGGGCATCCGTCGCAGCAGTTTCCAGCCGGATTCCAGCCGCCACGTACCGAAGATGTCAAAGTCAAAGCGTTCTCGGATGGGGTCAAACCTCAACATCGTGATAGACGGACAGTTGAGTGGCAAAGATTCATCTGGGAGGTTGTCGTGGCATTCAACTGTGCTTTGCATGATCAACCATAATTTAGCTGCCGCCCAATCTTGGCATGCTGGTTGTTTGCATACTTACCATGACTTCCGGGCACAATCTCAGCATGTGCGCACGTGTTGCACTGCGTGTGGGTCTCCAACAGGGTGAGACGCTTGTCCACAAGTGACCTTGCCTCGTTTTGACCCTTCAGGTCTTGCCTCGCGAGCGCTCGCGGAGGTACCTCGAACGGCTCGCCGTGAAATTAGCGGCTTTGAGGCGTCACAGTCCGTTGAGGTCGAGATCTGCCGATAAAAAGAAAGAAAAGCGAGCTCACCTGGGTATCACGAGCTCACCGTGATAAGGGTCCTAAACTTGGGGGTATAGGTAATTCAGCTTTTGGAATTATGGCAACAAATTGCAGATAGATACTGTTCAATGGCAGAAGCATGTCCCAACCAGTCAAAGGCGCAAGCCGTTATCACAAAAGGCTCCCACACTTGTCGCCAGCCATAAGCCTGCATGAGCTTTTCCTGAGGTCTCGACATCCGGAAGCCGTGGACGCTTGGCAGAGCAGTCGTTTTGGTGAGGAAAAAAACACGGGGGATGGCAAACAAAACGAGGTCTTCGAGTGATTCCCAGACGGCACCTTTCTCTGCAGGAAGTCTGGTGCTTCTCTGCAGTGGCAGGGCCAGTGCCGGGCTTAGATTGCTGCGACGGGATGTTCCACCCCAGACCTCCAAGAAAAGGGGCCCTCGTGCGATCACTAAGAAGGGTGTTTGGAATCCTACTTGCTGGCCTGGCGAGACGGCAGCTCAAATCACATGGTCCAAATGCTTGAAAAAGACGAGACCTCACAGGGCGCTCCCGAAGGCGACCGCGGGATTCCGTGCTTGAGGTGCTTATTATTCGAGTTGCGCAGAGAAATCGAGCCAACATGTGGGTGACATACCGTAAGACAGGTGAAATGAACGAATGAAGCAGTGATTCGGATCCCTCACAGAAGTTGCAGCTTCAGGCCATCCCACTTTTGGATATCAGAAGTCAACAGCTCAATGTGGACTCCCGATTCACAAAAATCCTCCAGGGGGCCCCTTCTAGCGTTTTCTTTTCTCTAGGGCAACGCTACTGATGCATAAGTAGGGGCTGATTGATCATGAGTCAGCAGTGTGCAGATGTGGCTGCTCAATTGCACAAAGCCACAAGGCGTTATAACTGAGGCAAGCTGAGGCGTGTGGTTTGGATGCGAGGCATCAAAATTGTCTGGATTCGCCTTGTTCTCGGGGACCTCAATGTCGCTGCCAGGTAGATCTGTGGACGCACCGCGCCTCCAACGAGAAACGTGACAAACATTTCTCTCACAAGCCCGATGTCACCGCCACGTTTCATAAATGTTTAATCCTTTCCGACGGAAGAAGCTGCTGGTGCACGTGCCTCACACATCTCAGATCCGACGAAAGGTTTGGTCTAGGGCTCCAGGTGCTTGTTTGGCGAGATTAGCGGTGGTCATTGGGGAAGAGCAAATCCGTGGGCCGTTCGGAACGCCCTGAAATATAGATGGACATCATTGTCTGTAAACTTGATGTCTTGAAAGGGTGCAGTCAGAGACTCACCCACAAGCCCTTGTCCCTAATGTCTGTGTTTTTGCATTTATTTATTTATTTATTTTAAAACTGTTCAAAGCCACCCAAAGGGTTTGTCTGCTTCGGAGGCGCTGCTGTTGCTGCTGGCTCTGAGTTCAAGGCGAGGGACTTCTGAACGTCCCCGTGGGTTTAACGGCCTTATCGGGTCGATAGAACATGTCAATGGGCGCCCCCCGTGAACAATTGATACCCCTCCCACCAACAGGGGGGCCCTGCAAGAGGAAAATGATCTTCCGGGTGCCCTCCCGCAAATGCTGTGTTTGTGTGAGGAAGGGTAGTTTCAGCTCATGGCTGGCTTGTTTTTGGCACAAACCCCAAGTCCACAATGACAACGTTAAGTTGGTTCTGATAGTTTCAGCTCTGAAAACAAGGACCAAACCACCTTGCAGCAATTGTAAATAGGGTCCGAATTGTTCGTTGTCCTTTTCTGGCTGAATTTCTACACTTGTCGACAGGGGTCTTCGGAGCAGCCATGGTTTCTTGGCTCCCTTGGCCGTTCTTGGCCATTCTTCTGATTTTGGGGCGGTTGAAGTTGGATTCTTTTTTTGCAAGTTTAGCCAGTAGGAATCAGTTTTTTTGTGTGTTATTGTGATCTTCAGCCAATGCATTGGGGCCCTCCCACCAGCGGATTTTGGTTTGAATCACCCAGGTCTACAAGCCTTTCAGCGTGCGGTTTGGCAGGTTGGGGCTTTTTGCAGCAAATCAAGGAGCACTCACTTTACAAGGGGCCTGAATTGACTTCTTCCATTGTCTTAAGAATATGATTTATGTTCCCTTTGGTTTTAAAGGGCATCTATCACTATTGGATTTGTTCTGCAGGGGGCTTAAGCAAATGGAGGAAGACGAAGTGCCTTTTGAATGGTTGGTCACAACCCCCCCCCCGTTTTGGAAGCACGCCCAATCTGTCCGTTGTCTTTTTGTCTTCCTTCAAACCAAGATGTAAAAGGGCCTTGCCGGGAAAGCACATTCCCATGTGGACACCGGACCACGATTTCGGCAGGTGTCGAAGGGAGGTAAAGCCGGAAGACTACCAACGCCTAGGCGCAACCTGTTCCGGTGGTTGGCATGGGTGACTGGTGCGAATTTTTCTGTCAGGATGTTGTGGTGGAAAAGGTTCATATGGCTGTGGCTCAAAAAAAGAAGAAGCCGGAATTCCAACATGGGTTGCCCGATCGGTAAGTGGAAACATGGACCAAGACCTGGGGTTTGCCCCTCCGATCCTTTAATTTTGAGCCACACCCATATCACAAGTGGTATTTTGGTGATAGTGTCTTGCTGATTTCTTTGGAACAGACCTCGGTGCTTATGAAGGAACATGACCACGGCCTTTAAAGAAAATGGGGGAGGGGAGCCTCCCCTTCGAGCCACTCGAGCCGGTCAACCAAGCTTTCGGGGCTCTCGGTGCAATGGTGCCCTGGTGGAATGCTTGGTTTTGAGGCCGAGCATTGGTGCACCCCAACAAGAGTTGACAAGGTCTAGATTTTGAGGCATAGATCCTTGTGCCGCACGTTCATCCTTGGCTGTCCACGACGCGGGAACTGGACCTGTTCCCTTCCATTGGCTCAGACTGTGATCCAAACATGTTCCGCTTGCAACCCAGGCAACGCGTGAGAGCGAGCGACGCCGAGCTACAAAGGCTCCATAGGGCTGGCTGAAAGGCTCGGGGGGTTTGGCTCCAAGCCGCTCCTTGAGGAGAGGTTTTCTCGCATCACGCGGGCCAAAGGCTTGAGCAGCTTTGTGTCCAAAGGTTGTTGTTCCCTTGCTTCCTTTGGTGCTTCTGGTCCCCCAGTAGTGCCCTTTTACCAACTTTTTGGTTCCCCTACTAAAATGGACTACAGAAAAAAGGGCACCCTTATTCCTCTACTGGAGGACCTAGTCTCGTAAAGCGACCCCAACAAGGATCGCCTCAAAAAAGGTCGGTGGCAGCACACTTAGGAGCTCTCTTTTTTTAGGTGTGTGGCTTGTATATGGCGGATTTGACTATTGACTATTGAGGGCAAATGTCATGGAAGTATAGAGACCTCGGCGATGACAGACATGCCAACCTGACCCAGATGTCTATGCTGCAGATTCTTGGCTGGGCACAATGTTTCGCCACAGAATTCAGATCTCAGGGGCTGCTGCGCATGTCACGTTTGCTTGCAGATACCCTCTCTCGCCGACCATGAAGGGAAGGCCATCTTCAGGTGTGAAGGTACATTCCATTATATTCCATTCATCATTGTGGGTGGGAGGGTATCCGCATCGGGCCGTGCACGGCCTCTCATTGATTTATCTCACAAAAGGCGCGTGGGGTCGTCCAATTTGGATACGCACGCATGCGCAAGCCAGAAGCTGCGCCTCCTGAAACATGGGTCCGCGTTTATCACAGCTCCATGTTGGGCACCAGTCTTTGCTTGGCTACGGCTGTGACTTGCTGGTGCCCGGTGGGGAATGAGGGAATGAACCTGGGGATTCCCTTAAAGGAAACCATAGAGGATGGTTTATGGGGGTCATTCCCTCATTCCCTGCTGAACACAAGCAAGGGAAAGAGCATTCAAAGCAAATCAAAGCAATCAAAGCTCCCGTCGAGCGGGACATGTTCTTGGAAGCAGCTCTACACCGAGCTACGACCATGGCGAGCAGCCAATGTCGCGAGGAAATCTGGCGAGAGCCTCTCATGGTTGCACTGGCGGTGTACTTGCGTTGGCGTGTGTGAGACAAGAGGAGAGCGACATCATATACAGGGGTACTAGCCTAAGCATCACAGGACCGCACAAGCTTTGCGTCCTTCGGAAGTCCAAAACCACCCGTGGTCCCGACACTATGCTAGGTCCTGTGATGCTCCCTCGCTCAAGGGACCAAACAGGGGTACTGGGTTCCGGTCCAGCTTCGGGGAATGACCCCGACTCGTTTCTCGCAAGAACCGCAGTCGGCTTGCTTTCGATTCCGATCTCCGAATCCGACGGAGCCTCGCTGAAGTCGTTTGCTCGCCCCGCATTGCGCAGGACGGCTACGTGGCCTGACGGACCCCTCTTGCCACTGAGGCCTGCCCGGCTTGGTCCTTAGAGCTCCCAAGAACTGGAAGAATCCACGGGCCTTGGATGGCGTGGCGAGGGAAGTAGAATGAGCCTGGGTTGGCCAAGTGGCTTTTGACCTTTGGGTTGCGACCAGCAAAAATATGCGTGGAGCATCACTTGCCCGTTGCCATGGATCCTTCAAAGCCAAAAACAAAACAGCGGTTGCCAGGTTTCACCAAACCCTGGTCCCAACCCGCACCGAAACGGGCCTCGGAAAGAGCCCTCTTGGTGGGCCAACCCCTCCTGGCCGAGCCACGCTTTCACGGAGGCTTTGCCGGGAGCGGTCAAGCGGCGCGTAGAAAAGCACAAGCAGGAATGGTGGATTTTGCCACCAGCTTGACTTCAAGGATTTCTTGGCGCCCGAAGTTTGCAGACATATTGCAAAGGGATTGGGATCCGAGAGCAAAGGTTTTGGGAGGCCTGCAGCCATCGGCTTACCCGGGCTTGGTGTGAAGCAGGCTGTTCAGCCTAGCCGAGGGCCTAAGACTCAAGAACTCGCAATTGGAGGCGATTTGACTGGATCGACGGTTTTGAGAAAAAAAAACTGGCCATCCAGGCGATTGCACAGGCGATTGCAGGGGTTGCGAGCGTGACAGCCATGACTTCTGGACGTCGACAAGCATGGTGTCGATCCGTGGTGCTTCTAGGCTTATCGCCGCTGGGCGGCGTTAGTGGGTGGGTGGGTGGGGGGGGGGGTTCTGGCATGGTTCTGGCCATGTTGTGAAGGTGAATGTGGTTGGATGTTGTTTGAGATGTTTGAGCGAAGACAATGACACCTGCGCGCCTTTTTGTTCTTCAATGCAGTTTCGGATCAAAGGCACGGCTCTTGGTGTGCTTTGAGCTTGTTTGACATCTCAATCGCGACCTGGCCTGAGTCCTCTACGCTCCCTCGCACAAAGACATGTTTTCTCAAGGCCAGAAGCTACTCGCTGAAAGGTTGGGCCATCAGTAGACGAGATTCGGAGCTGCCATCTTAACCAAAAGCGGTTCTAACAGGCCTGTAAGCGGCAGCTCCTTCCCATGTTGGTTCTCCTTGCATGGATTTTACTTACTCCATTGCTTGATACCTGCAGAGTGCCATGTTGACGGCTGGAGAGTGGATCAGCGCTCCTCAGCTGCAGGACGCTTTGCGGCAGCGGCCTCACGCACACAGCAAGGCCCTCAGCCGAGTTGGCCCTGCCTTTCGTCGCCATCAATTTGTTCATGCTAGGTCCCCCAGCTAGGTGCCCTGTTACCGTTTCTTTTTTGGGGGAGGGTTCCCCTACTACAATAGACTACAGAAAGAGTTGGTACCCTTGTTCTAACCTCTCTACTGGAGGACCTAGCATGAGTCAAGCTACGACCATGACTGGTCAAGTCCGATCACTGCCATCGCATAGGATACCTTCGATCTTCGCCTGCTTCATGGGCAAGAGAATCGCTGGATCGTCGAGTTTGCGACGTGTTGCACCACACATCGCATGCTGAGTCCGTGGGCGCTGGCAATGAAGCTGTCTTGGCAGGGGCTATGCCACGAGCAACTTGGCCGGATGAGCGCAAAGCCGGTCGAGCCATGGTACAAAGCACGCACTGGAGAAATTGGCCACTGGAAGAGTGAGTTGCATCTTCCGTTGCTGAAGGATATTTGTACATGTTGTTCCATCTATCACAACTGGAAATATGTTTCCAGATGAAGACATCATTGCTGCTGTGCAAGGGATCGCCACACAGGACCGAATAGCTGCCTTTTTGCGCGTGTAGATACAACTGCACATTATGTTCCCGGAGGGAAGGAAACATGCCCATCATTCCATTGGAGCGGAGGGGGCAGGATTGGCATGCCTGACGTGCACACATACATACAGACAGGCAGACGACAGACAGGCAGGCAGACAGCCAGGCAGACAGACAGGCAGGCAAGCAGAGAGACAGACAGACATACATGCTAGCATGTGCATGTAATATATATATAATATATATAGTTATATATATATATATGTATATGTATATGTGGCAGCCCCCCGAAGGATCTACCTTTTTTCTTATGAAATAGGTCCATACGGAATCAATGTCAATCCTTCTCCCGCCCCCCCAAAAAAGAAACCAAATGAATACAAACGAAATTTCATTCGGATTGAAGATTCACGACTCATGCTTCCAGTGAAGCCTCATGCTTCCAGTGAAGCCTTTTGCAGGGAATCTTGAATCTTCAATCTGAATCCAGTCCCGAATGACATTTCATTCGGTTTCGTTCGGGGTTTCAATCAGCGACTGAAAGTTCCCCCCCCTTCCGAATGACACCGAATGAAATTACAGATTCAATATTGTTGCAACATGGGAAAGATTTCACTGGAACCTTGAACCTTGAATCTTGAAGCCAGTCCCGAATGAAATTGATACTTTGCCCGGCCATGCTGCGCTGCCTACCGGGATGCTGCCGGCACTCCATGGCCTCCCTCAAGAAGGAGATCTTGAGAAACAATGATGGGTCTGTGAACGTCAGTCTCGCATTCCGATGACTCAAGAATCATGGGGGCTGGGGGGGCTTATTTGGGCTCCCTCCCCTCCCCTCCCTTCCCCCAGCCCCAATGAAAGAATGTCTCCACCTGGTGCTCAACAAGTGCAGGCTCGTTCTCCGAAAATCGGAGTGTCTCAAGCTGATGCTTGGCTCGTGCTGCGGTGCTTGCCGTCGAAGACAAGTCCACCGTACAGTCACCACAGCTCAGCAGCGAGCAAAGATCCTAAGCAGCCAAGAAGTGCACGAGTGGCAATAAGGGCAGCCGCGCAAGTAAAAACCCAGCGTCGCGAGACCCTTTGCAGATGCTCTTGGTTTGCATGTTGCAATTGTGCTGCGGCAGTCTTCCCGTAGTCTTGCCGCACCCTTGTCCAGTCTTCCCAAGCTTCGTGTTTCCACGGACGGTCTGTAGGTTCCGCTCGCGTCCAGCAGCTTTTCAGCTTCGTGCTTTACGGGCGGTTTTGCTTGTGCTTTCGCAGTCTTCCTCCAGTCTTCCCGTTCTGTAGCCCCGTTGGTCTTTTTGAATCATTTGTTTCTACGGGAGCTCCGTCACATCGGTCCCTGTCGTTGTCTTTTCACGCTTGCACCCTGAAAGGAGTGTTTCCGTAGCCTTCCGTTAGGGTTTCCAGCGCTCCTGCGCGCGGCTTCCAGCAAAAAGGCAAACAGTCGTCGACAGTGCCGATGCCAATGCGGGGGTCTTGCTCTGGGGCTGCCAAGCCTGCTGTGGTTTTTGGTGGACGCGACGGGACCCGTGCCTTCTGCCAAGCGTGACATCGTCGTTTGGCCGCACGAGAATCCTCATCCTCAGCGTCAACGAATGCAACGAGCATGTCGACCCTCTGGCCTACAAGCTGCTCTTTCCTTGCAACCTTCGCCCGCCAGCTGCACGGACCGTGCGGATCCGGAATCCTGGCGCCCCATGGAAATGGGGCGCTACGCTCGGAGCTTCCCCAAGGGTTTTCAGGCCTCCACGGTGTCCGGATACCCGCACCGACGGCATCCGACTTCCCCAGCCATCCAGAAAGGGCTCCAGCCACTGGACACCCGTGATGCGCCGTACCCCTTTCCTCATGGGAAGAAGGTTAATGTTGCAGCGGTGACAAGAGGCTGAACGGTGCTGTGATGACAAGGTGATTGACTCTTTTGGGACGAGAAGAGAGTGGCGGCTGTTGGTCACTACTTAGTCTTGAAAAATTCGGAGGTCCGGGGGTTGTTCTGGTTTTCCCGGTATGTCGGTCACTGTGCGCGACGTCAGGTCTTTGCTTCGTGCCGTTGGGGCAGCGCGGCCCCCGATGGCGGGTCTCGCCGAAGCCCATGTCGTTGCGACATGAGCAACAGTGCCACGGTATCGGGCTTGCGTCGTCATGCAGGTTGATCATCATTTGCTTAAGAATATGTGTTATTTTCCCCTGTTGGTTTTTGAAGGAAATCTATCACTACTGGAAATATATTTTTTCCACGGGGCTTAAGCAAATGGAACTGATAGGTATCAGTTTTGCTAGCCCCCTATTTGTCTCTGGTATCATTGTGCTCCCATACGACGTTGGCTCTTCCCTGAAATCTCGAGCGTGTTGGCCAATTCGTGTTTGACAGCGCAGCTCAACTGGCAAGTTGCGAGTCGGCGAGCGAAAGCATCAGACCGGCCAGATCAGATGCTTGAGGATGGAGCCATCTTGCCACGCGACGCCAAAAACCAGGCTGATGACCCCGGAAACAGCGCAGATTCGCCCAGGCCAAGGTGCTCCGGTGAAGAGTCGAGGACGGCTCGCGAAATGCAGGGTGCGTGCAGATTGGAGCGAGTCAGATTCAGGGATGCCACCTCTTGATCCCAAGACAGAACGGGGGTATGTTTCTTGACCCAAGGTCGGACTTGCATCAAATGTTGCGAGGGCGTTGTCAAATTGCTGGGAAGATGGGCAGGAACTTGCTTGCCTCAAGCAGACACCTCAAAAGCCGGCGGCCAGAGATAGAATGGAGTGCTCATAGTGCTCAGAACGTCAGATGATGTAGGTGTAAACTGAACCTCCAAGCTGTTCTTTTGCCACCGAAGCTGTGATTTTTTAGTTTTAGTTTTTTTTTTGAAAACACATGCCACAAAGTCTCCGGCCAG